TCAGACAGGTCTGCCTTCATGGTCTGTCCAGACCCAAAGTGATCCTCCTAATCCGGACTGCACTCCCCCTCTTCTCCAAAATGAGGACTGCCAGTGCCAAGGGAAATGGGTGATACAGTTCTGTTCTTCTGCCCCACTCTCCTTACACACACATACACACACACTGACATTAAGACCTCTGGTTAGTGACATCGAAGGTTCTACCTGTGCACCAGATGGGAGGTTGCTTGAGAAATAGCATCTCCATTGGCCTGGAATCCAGCAACACCGTGCTTGCTAGCTCATGTACGCTCCCTACCGCTAGGAAGCCCCATTCCGGGGGCCCTGCTATTTGGAAGGGTCTCGTACCTTGTACATTTTTTTTCCAAAAAGCAATGTGGCGATTGGAGGCCATAAACCAAAAAGTTGTTATTTTTCAGAAAACCGAAAACGAAAACCTTGATCTAGTTTCTCTGTAGCAAACCACCTCCAGCATGTGCAACAGCTGTGCAGTGTAATGGCAGGAGGCCCGGATGGAAGGAAGGAGGCTCAGGGCTCCTCCCTCTTGTCTTTGCTGTAAACTTGTTCCTTGACCCTGCCCTGTGAGCACCTCTGATAAACAGGAAGGCATCCACGCCATCAGTATCATCCCCCTTAGAGCATCTGAGACCTGTCTAAGCCATCAAAGGCGTCCCCAGACCCCAGGAGCATTCTGGAGGGGACTCCAGACTCACCAAAAACAATTCCCCATTGTGTTCCCCTCTCTTGGAAATCAGGGATTTGTAAACAGGCCCTTACATTTAGACAGGTCCTGCCCTGTCTTTGTGCTGGTGTGTTTTTTCTTCCCTAAACAATGTCCTTTCCAGCAGGGCCAGCCTGTTCACACCATTGTCTGAGACCCTTGGACTACAGGAAACAGCACCAGATTCTTATCAGCTGGGGGTGGGGGGCAGCGTGAACAGATGAGGTCATGTCCATAAAGCAAGTTGCCGGTCTGCCACATCATTCTTCTGTACCTTTATCTGTGAGAGCAGAGCCCCCCTTGTCCTCCTAACAGGCGTATCTGGGCTTTCTGTGTCACTCATACCGTAGTTCTTTCCATTTGATGACAGACACCTGGACTCCACCGTAGGCCTCTGTTGATTCATTTTGGAATCCTTGCCAGCCCGCAAAGGTCCCCCTTTCCTGGTCTTGCCTCTTTGCCCAATGGGATGCTTATGGAAGTGGAACACACCCCATTGGGCTGGATTAGGGTACACTCCAATCGTCTTCCTCCCTGGGGGAAAGGGGTCAAGACTGGTCACCTGAGTCCTCCTCAGCAGAGTCATTGAGTGCAAGCTCCCAGCTGAATGCTAAGGTCTGGGTGAGGATAGGGGCAGGTGTCCCTTATGAGGCCTCTCCGGAGTCTGTGCAACATTTCCCATCCTCAGTGGAGAATGGTCTTTTAAAAGGCTGCAATGGGGGCGCCTGGGTGGCTCAGTGGGTTAAGCCTCTGCCTTCAGCTCGGGTCATGATCTCAGGGTCCTGAGTGAGCCTGCTTCCTCCTCTCTCTGCCTGCCTCTCTGCCTACTTGTGATCTCTCTCTCTCTGTCAAATAAATAAATAAAATCTTTAAAAAAAAAAAAAAAAAGGCTGCATTGAGGAACCAGGAGTTTCCCTAGTGAAAATCCAGCGGGGAAAGTGAAAGCCTTCATTAGGATAAGGCCTCTGGGGAACCGGCCCAATAGTGGTACCCACGGCCAGGGTGGGCAGGGGAAGGGCAGTGGGAAGTGGGCACAGGGCCATAGTTGCTGTTTCCTCATCTCCTGTTCCCCAGAGGTGGGGGTGAGGCCGGAAGAGGAGCCAGGGCAGGGGCCCAACAATCCTTAAGCTCCTAGTCAGGTATTGTACGAAACCTAGCCTCTCCAACTCAGCCTCTCCCTACACCAGGGCCAAGTCTGCAGTCTCAGAAAACCGTGGGGATTTGATCTTGGTGTGGCCTGAAACTTCTCCTTTAGGAGATCCTGAGAACCAGCAATTGGGGAAGCCTGGGGTGGATCCCTAACTAGGAATGGAAATCAGGCTGTTTCTGAGCAACTGTCTCTTAGTTCTAAGAAGGAGATGTGGCTGGCTGGAGAAGCCTCCGTGCCCTGGACTGACAGAGGCATGTGAGTGAGTTCCCTGCCCAACCCCCCACCCCCAACGTAACTGATCTGGGCCCCTGGAGGGGACAGCATGGCCCCTGATGGCTGCTGCCTGCTCCCTCCTCCAACTGAGGGTTTCGAGGGATGTCTAGAAACTGACCTGGGCTTAGCTGAATGCAAGGAGGGCACTTGAGAAAGTGAAAAGAGCTGTTTTCCTCCTGTATTCTGCTCCCTCCCTACACCCACCCTTCCTTAGAAATGAGTCCCTTGGACTGCTGGACAGCCACAGGCTCGGGGTGAACCCCAGTCATCCACAGAGGATCTGGCCAGGAAGCGGGCTGTGGAGGCAGACTGAGTGTGGGAGGATCGGCAGAGCCCAGACCCAAGGGCCAGCAGACTGGCGGCGTGGCTGCCTTGGCCTGGGATGGTGGGTCCTGCTCTGGTGCCTGTCGTGGGAAGCCAAGCTGTGGCTCTCCGAACTGGGAGGCCAGGGCCTCCACAACTTACAGGCTTAGAAAGCAGAGATTAATAAACTAATCTCACATGGCAGGGGAAGGAATTAATCAAATCCGCGTTTTCTCAAAGTACGTTTCAAAACATTAGAAACATGAGGCGGTGATCACTTGATGGGAAAAAGGACCCCAGTTTTGGGAGAATCATGTAGCTTGTAGCAGACCTGCAAATCAATGAGACATTATCATGGGCTTCTTAGGGACTTCACAGGGCAAACGCGCTGCACACACAGCAGCTCCGTGGGGCTAAAGGGACAGAAATCCCCATATTTATTTGACCCTTGTCACCCTACACCCATTTGGGAAATGATGACACTGGCCCAAAGACAAGGGGAAGTGTGGGACTTTGAGGAAAAAGCTGCCCGAGAGAGAGAGGGAGGCCCCTGAGGCAGGAAATATGGCTTCAAGGTGGGAGGCCTGGGGGGAGAAGTCCAGGCCCAAGGGTTGGGAAGGTGGGAACAGAGTTGTTGTGGCCTAGGGAGAGAAGAGGCTGTGGAGGCCGAGTACCTCCCAGGCCCACACTCTGTGCCAAGTGGGTGATGATGATGCTTCCTGGGCGATGGCTTAGGACGGGGCACAGTGGTTCGGTGCTGTCAGGCCCAGGGGCAAAAGGAGGACCCCTGCTCCAGGGCTTCAAGATGGGACAGATGACCAACTTGTTAAGCCCCCCTACTCTGGCGTATGGATTGAGGGACCCATACTCAGCATGCTAGCAAGAGGTTAGCCTGGCAAGATGCCCCTCCCCTCTTCGAATCACTCCTGCCTTTTCTGGGCTCTGTTATCTGGGCAGGGGCATGATGTCACCAGGGGAGTGGGAGCCACGGGCTGTGGTGCCTTCAGCAGCATCCAGACTCGCCTCCTCCTCACGCCTCCTCCTCACAAGCTTCTACCCCCACAGCGCGGCCCAGCACCCCAGGCAAGAGCACAGTGGCCTTAATATACGTTGGTATGTGGCACGCCAAGTAGACAGGCACCAGTCCAAGTGTTGCTGTTACAAATATTGAGTGTTATTGTGGGAAAAGGAGCAGGGCTGCCTAAGTGCCCAACTGCCCTTTGCCAGCAAATTTTTTTTCTGACTCAAGATCTTCCCGAAGCCCGAGAAGGTCAGTCTCAGAAGCCTGAGGGGCAGGAGTTTCCTAACTTAATAAGCCACCTCAGTTTCCTAGACAAAGCACTTTGACTCCTTCCTTCCTTCCCCTCATGTCCATCTCCCTCCCTTCTAGAATATACCCCTTAGGGTGTCCTTCTCCTGTCTGGAATGGATGGAAAGGCTCTTCCTTTCTAGCTCACACAGATGGTATCAGTCAATTTAGAACAGAAATACAGAAATGCAATAATGATATAATTATGTGATGTATTCACTCCATCGCTTTCCTTGTAGGTCTGTGTGGTAGACCACCATGTATCCTCATCAGAGCACAGAGGTGGTCATGACAATAAAAATAACAATAGTAATTAGGAGAAGTGTGCTCTGCAGACAGAGAAACCACAAGGCTGATCTCAACATATGAATATAAAAATAGAATTCACACATAGAGGCATTTCCAGGAGTTAATCACACACAGTACCTCATGGGTGGGAGGTGTGCGGAGTTGGCAAAAGCTGTCCATAATTTTCTAAGTGCAGGTGTTCTTTGTTCAGGATTGTGAGCTCCTCTTCCATTTTCCAGAGTAACTTCCCCCAGAGAACCCTGCCTGGAGCAGCCCATGCCTGGGTCTAGCCTAGAGGCCACTGAGGACCTGGCCATTTCTTCCTTGCTTCACTGGAATAGTGGGCCTGCAGCTCTGTGCACCACAATTCCTGGGGCTCTGTGTTCTTTCCTGCCCCTCTTGCATGGTCTCTGCCTCTCCCTGTGCTCCCTTCTCCGTCCCTCCTCCCCACGGTCCTCCTCTCCTCTGCTTTAACCTGCAGGCCTCCCAGCCACAGAAACCCCAGGCCCAAGGCATCCCAAGGGGGTGTTGGGTCAATCTCAGTGCCTCTGGTTCACTGTCTGTGAAGTCAAAGAGGAAGGGGGGGCCTATTTCGGATCCCAGTTCTCTGGAGGTGATGGGGTGACTCACATAAAACCCAAGGCAGAGGCACAGTCTGGGTTTGAGTTCAACTGAGCAGGAAGCCCTGTCCTGCTTTTTATCTGGTGTTTTTTCCTTTCTTCATCTTGGTTGTTTTCATGGGGGGAATCTCAAACTTGATGCTCTTGTCCCCCTCCTGTCGGTTTTGTGCGTCACTAAACCTGCTCATATGCAGGCTGGGACAGACTTTTCATTCAGTCCTCCTCCTCCTCCCCTCTGTCCTCCCCAGCCCAAGAAACACATCACTGAGTATGGCAAAAACACCCCTACACCCCCAGACCGAATGCATCCCGGCCACCTGCGCCTCACCCCCAAGAACCAGCAGGACTTAGCAGGCTTTTGCCCTCTGTTTTTTTTTTCCCCTTGAAAGAGAAAAGTCTTCATAAATGAAACCATTCACCACCAACCCTGCTTAGTAGAAACCAAAGATTCCAGGGTGGGAGACACCTGGTTTTCCTGTGGCTCCTGAGCTAACTGACACCATCTTGGGTTCTTGAGAATGCCTGCTCTGGGGTCCCCTAGCCCATCCTAGCGTCTCTCACCCTTTCCCCATCCCAGAGGCCTCCCAACCCTCTGTGACAAAGCCCCGCACCTGGTCCTCCCACCCAGCAGCAGGTTCCCGCCCTCCCCAGCTATGGGCATGCTTGCACTGCCCCGTGAGAGACAGCCCCCTCCTCCTGCCCCACACTTCCCCAGCTCTAGTCCACAGAACGGGGGATGACCTTCCTCCACAACCCACCCTCTCCCTGCTCATCAGTCCGGAGACCCTGATGGTGGGAAGGGAGAATCCTGTCAGGAGCTCTGGGCATTGCAGGGAACCTGGCCTGGCAGCGTGGGGTCTGGGGAAGGCAAATCATGCTGTGAGACACTGCTGGGATTATGAAGTAGGGCCTGAGGCCCAGACCACCCCCCGGGTGCCAGGGAGCTCTGGCTGTCCATGCTTCTAGGATTCTGTGAGGGAGAAGAAGTGGTGGACAGCGGCAGGGAGCCACCAGGATATCAGGGCACAAAGTGGGGGGAGGGTCTCACCGTTTCACCAGGTCATAAGTCCCCTTAACGGGTGCTACCTGGGAGGCAACTTCCATCTTCCTCCCGCTGCCTAAGGGCCCCCCACCCAGGCACCTCCTCGGACACACCCACACAACCACTCCAAGGGTCACTCAGAATGGCCATTGTTCTGCCTGCTGGGAAAGACCCACCCAGCCCTCTCACCACCGGGCACTACCGGAAATGTGCTCTGGGGGCCATATCTGAGAACAAACAGCAGGCCCACTGGGGTTGGCAGCAGTCAGAGGGAGGCTGGCTCCAGCTAGGACTGGGAGCACAGAGGGGCGGGGAACAGGCTTCGGACACGGGGCGCTCCATCGGGCCCCAGACTTTCCTGGGGGCAGCCTGGTAGAATTTCGGGAGGCAGAGACTCCTCTATCTCTAAGAGGCAGTTGGGCATGCGGGCCCCCCTCGGCCCTCGCTGGGTGGGTGGGAGACTCTGGGGGCTGCTGGGCCACCCGGTCCCTCCCGACCACCCTCTGCTCTATGCTCTTCTATGCGGCCTCCACCTCCCGGGGCGTCCGATTACGCTCGGCCTGCACCCGGCTCTTCACCTTCTTGCCCAGCTCCGGCCCTGGCCAGCTCTTGCCCTTGGCCTGTTTGCCCCGGCTCCTGGAGGAGCACCACACACGCTCGCAGTACTCGTCCACCCGCGGCAGGTTGGCGAAGCCGATGAGCTGCAGGATGTCCTTATACCAGGCCTTGGAGGGGGCAGAGGCCAGGCCTCCCCGCGCTGGGGGCTCCTCGGGCCTCGGCTCCCGGGGAAACAGGCTGTGGAGCTGTGAGGCCGCGATCACCTCCAGAGCCAGGCGGACCACGGTCTGGGAGAAGCCATGCTCCAGTGTCTTGCAGGTGTAGATGCCGGCGTCCAGGTGGCTGAGTCTGCGGAATAGCAGCCCCTGCTTTGTCTGCAGGACTCGCTCATCTGTCTTGACCTGTTGGGGGCGTGGGAGGGTGTGAGGGGGGCGTGGAGTAGGGCACACACACCAACAGTTTCCCTCCCTGCAGTTTCCAGATTCATATCTCAGGGCCCCATGCTGAAGCACTCCCCTTCCCGCTCTTTCCTGCCCAGGCTGGCTTCCTCCTCCGGACTGTCCGCTAACTGCAGGCAGGCTCTCACCTTCCCAGGATCCAGGACGGGGCCTGCAAAGGAGGCTTTTGGTTTCTCCCCTAGTCAGAGCTCTGGGGCACCTACCTTGGCCTTGGGGGAACCTGCCACATAGTCCCAGGGACCAGAGTGGGTAAAGGTATTTAGGGGCTTTTATTCAGGGAGGGTTATACCCACAGACCTAGGACCAGAAGTCCTCACCACTCTGCGTGCACACACACACACACACACACAGCCTTCCCTTTCCCTGACTGCACTGTTCACTCTCCACATCTGCACGTGGAGGCCGGACCGCCTGGGCGGTAAGTATTGTGTAACCATCTTGTTGCTTGTTGCCTCTGGCCTCCTGGGGGTGTCTTCTTAGTGCCTAGCCCAGCAGCTGGCCCCAAGCTGGCCTCCCCCGGTTCCCAAGCTGGAAGGAGAGCCCCTCCTGTAATGAGCGCCCTCCTTTCCCCTTCCCTGCCCGTGGGAGAGGCTGGAGAACGGTTCCTCACCCTGCCACACCCACGCCCTCCTCGGGCCCCAGACTGAAGCCATTTCTGGGGTTGACAGACCTTTCCAGATGGAGAGGGTCTGGGCAGACAGCTAGACTCCGTGGAGGAAGTGTTGAGCTAGACAGTGGGTGGGTGCTTAGGGGTGTATGCGTGCACAGGTTTCAGTGCAAGTTAGACACCCCCTGGGCAGAGGAGAACCAAGAACCCCTGGGAAAGAGATCTTTCAGAGAGGAACCTTATGTGTAAAAGCATGGGGGGCTTCTTGGCCAGGCCAGCGCCCCCCCCCCCTTCCATCTCTGCTCCCCACCTCCCAGAGCTCAGCCCAGTGCCTGGGAGTTAGCGGGCTCCCTGTCACGGGACGGCTTGCAGACAGCTCTCGCCTGGGCATTCCCAGGGGCAGAAGGAAGGGCACCTCCTTCTAGGCACCCCAGGGACTTAATACACACTTCTCTTCAGTTGACCTTGAAGGTTCCCCCCAGAGCCCCTTCCTAAGTTCAGAGAGGGATGTGGTGTGATGACACGTGCAGGCTGGAGGCAGGGTCCTTGCTCACCTGGTCAGGCCCCTGGCCCCCTGGCCTCTGCACGAACCAGTGCACGGCCGCCTGGGAAGACTTGGGCAGGCACTCCAGGAAGGTGCTGTTGTGCTCCGTGCCGTAGACCGTGATGGCTGCTGCGGAGCCTGCAGCCTCCTCTGGGGGAAGGGGGAGGGGGGCTCGGCTCAGGACTGTGGGACCCCGGGGTCCCCCACCAGTGTGACAGGGACCTAGGTGTCCATCACTCTGTCCAAAGACCCTCCACCCATACACTGATGGGAGCTGCACACATAGGAAAAGTGAGGTGGGGGGGGGGGCTGTTAACACAGGGCCAATGAGGCCACACTTCCGAGGGTTGAGCCCAGGCCAGAGGGGTGAGGAGGGGCCTGTGGGAGCCCGGTGGGTCTGCGCACACCCCCGCCCCTGCCACCTGCTACTACTCACCTTCCTGGCTCTCAGCCAGACACTGCAGGGCAGGATTGCCGTGCCGGATGTCCTGCCTGCGGAACCGGCGCTTGCTAGGGCCGGGCCTGTAGCGGGTGCAGGAGGCACCGTCCCAGGCACAGTATGGGTCTCGGGCCAGGCAGCACTCAGCACAGGCACTGCCGTAAGTTTCACATTGGTGCAGCCGCAGCCGGGCCACGCCTAGCCTCGAGCCCACGTACAGCGTTTGCTGGCAGGGACACAAGCAGAGCCAACATGAGCCCAGGCCCCACCTAGAAGCAGCTAGGCTCTTAGCCCCCTTGGGCTTCCTGAGAGCACCCCACCATTTGCAGGCAGTCTTCCAGAACCTCTTGGGTGTCTCCCCAAATGCCAAAAGTGTTTATCATGCACCTGACACACATCAGATCCTGTGCTAGGACACAGAGGGCAGGGGGCAGACCTTGTTTCCTAAGGGGCTTCTCCAAGCCCTTCCTGCTGCTGAATTTTGCTCTCTACCTCAATAACCTTTATCCTGACTTGCCTCTGAGCTTAGAAGTACACTATGCTTTAAGCAATCCCAATACAAAAGTTGGGATTTACCCAAAGATAAACCGGGGCGATAAGCTTGAGATTTTGCCGCTTGCAAAAGGACCCAGCAGGCCTCTAAAAAGTGGCTCTCCTTTGCAGGGTTTAAATTCTGGATTTTGTTTTCAAGCAGGAAGCTGTCGGCCCAGGGGGACTGGCCTCTGTGGATCTCCCCTTCTCTGAACACAGCCTCACTTACTCAGGGTTCCCACTGTCCACTGGTTTCATGCATGGCATCTCAGCTCCCTGCTGGACTCTCGAGCCTCATGACAAGGCCTCACCAGGCAGCCCCAGGGCCTGCTGCAGCCCCGCTTTCCAGCAGACGGCAGCCTGTCGTGCTCAGAGAGTTTCAGAGGGGGGGTCAGAAGAAGGAGGAAGGGTGGGGTGGCAGCTGCTCTTACCCTTTTGACAGAGATCTCCATCTCGGTGATGGGTGTTGGCACCTGCAGAAGGAGGAGGGTCTCAGAGAGGGATGGGCTGGGGCCAGCTGTGTCACTCCTTCAGCCTCCTCCAGCCCTCACATGGGAGCCACCTACCTCCCAGTCTGGGTCAGTGAACTCCCTGGCAACTAAGGCCAGACAGTCTTTCCCAGACATTGGGTTATTAGAAAGGTCCCCTCACCCTGGCTGGCCTCCAAGGAGGAGGCTTAGTGGAAAGCACAAAGCTCCAGTGTCCCCTCCCACAGCCCTGTTCTCCAGGAATGAGGCAGCTGTCCCACATCACCCATCCCATGTCAGGATCCCAGCAGTCCCCCAGATGTAGATGATGCCCTGCCTGGCCCACAGAAGCCCTTAGAGACTTAGGGGTCTCAGCCACCCCCTCACTGTGACTTGAACTTGGCAGGGTTTTGTCAAGGGGAGATCACCTTGGACACCCCTCCCTAGGCCCTCCAGACTTTCTCTGGGCCCCACGGCCAGACAGCAACAGCAAGGCAATTTCTCCTCCACTGGCTGTGAGCTCAATAAGGACAGGCCCATCCCCCTCCTGCACTTTGCTCCTGTGTCCCAGGAGCCAGGCCTAGACCCAGCAGTGGGGCTGGAGGGGATCCTTCCCATCAGTGCTCCCTCCCCACAGTCTGCCCTCACCTTAAACACCTGGAGCTCCTCCAACACCACCTCCTCAGACTCAGTGGAGCCCCCACCCTGGAGAGCAATGACCTTGAGCACGGAGCCCGAGTCTGGGGCAGGGGAGAAGGGGTCAGTGGGAGAAGGAGCAACCCCCTCCAGCCTACACACCTCCCCGGCCGGGCCACCCCACTCAGCCCACCCACCAGTCCCCAGGAAGATGACGTCGTAGGTCCCGTCCTCCGCCTCCACACGGTCCACCACGATCTGGTGCAACTGCTGGGCCAGATGCGTTTTGACAAGCACGGGGCGGCCCCGCCGTGGCCGCACGGGCCAGAACATAAGTGGGTGGGCTCGGGCAAATTGCAGCACCTCATCTGGATAGTTCTTGGTGCTGCCAAAGGGTCGTCCTGGCTGTGCTGTCATCTTGCTGGGGCACTGTGAGGAGCGGCAGGGGGGCACCTGAAGTGTCCTGAGGCCACACGCTCCCCAGCCCAGCCTGTTTCCAGGTCCCATGGCATGGGCATGCCCACATCAGAGGGGCCGTGCTTGCCGTAGCAGAGGCTCCTTGATGTGGCCAGGCCTCTGCTCCCCTCCTTCCACCACCCGGCCCCTCTGGAGTCCCAGCCCAGCCGCAAGGTTGTCCCAAGGTAGAATCCCTCTAGGAACTGCTCAGCCCTCTCTCCCGGCCTGGCTCCAGGCAGACACTCACCACTCCAGGCCGAGGGAAGGGCACCTTGCCCCCATAGGGTCCCCACTGGTGCTGGGGACCATCTTGGTGGGCAAAGGGCCCCTTGAAGACCTCCCAGATATCCTCCATGTGGTACACGCAGACGGCAAATCCCTGGAACACGGCACTGCCGAGGACGCACAGGGACAGTCAGGCCAGAGTGGCTGTCACAGGTGGGAAGGGGCAGCCTGGCTCCATGGACAGGACAGAGGGTGATCGTGCCTGCAGACAGCCAAGACCAGAAAACGAGGACACCCAGACAAAGACAGAGAGAAGGAGGGAGAAAATAGAGCCTCCGAGTCCTTGAGTCAGGGACAGAGACAGAGACCCACGGTAAAGTCGGGCCACAAAATCAGGGGCTCGACAGAGGACACTAGTGTGCACAGACTGAACCAGGGCTGGGGATATGAGGGGAGACCCGTGTGCCCACCTGACCGTGCTAAACAGAGCATACACCTCAAGGGTCTTCCCTGAGCTGGGCCACAGCAGGAACACGTCCTCTGGGAGACAGAAGGTCACTGTCAATGCCGCCCACTCACTGCTCTGAGCCCTCTGCACCCGCACCCGCACCCGGCCCTGGCCATGGCCTTACCCAGCTGGTCAAAGTGGGTCTCGGCACCACCAGGGCCAGGCACCAAGCACACCAGCCTGGCCTTGAGGAAAGTGCTCCATTTGCTCACCAGCACGCGCTGGCCACCAAGGTCATTCTGGGGGTAAGGGTCAGAGTCAGCCTCCAGCTCCATGGGGACGGGCCCCCCTCCTGCTCCTCCACCCTCACCCTTGGAGGGAGAGGCACGGATGCTGGCTTCACACCCTTGCCTCATTTTCCCTCCTGCTGCTGGTGGGGACGGGTGTAGGAAGGGAGTGTGGTGAGGATCTGACCTCACCGCCTCCTCCCGGCTCTCACCACGCAGACACGGCCGACGCGGCTGACGGTGACACGGCCTGGGCCACCATCGGGTGAGGGCACAGTTTCCGAGAAGAAGAAGTACACCTTGTCGTCATCCTGGTCAGAGTTGTCAGCGATGCGGGCGGCCGTCACAAACCGCGGGTCTGGGAGGTGACAGGGTGCAGCTGGTTGGGGGAACCTCACAGGGAAGGATGGGAGCGGGGTGGGGGGAGAGGTACCGAACCTCCACTGTGGGCCGGAATCCCAGGGAGTAGAGTGGGGCTGGGCTGTCCCTCCCATCCCCACTCCAGTGCTAGGCTCTCCTGCCTCCCTGTCAGGGCTGGGGGCAGATCCCAGTCAGCCTTGCCCCTGGAAGACCCTGGGCTCACCGTGTAGGAGGTTCTGGTCAGAGTCAGAACGCAAAGCTGGCCGGGGACCCCCACTCCGGAAGATCATGGCCTCGCGCCCCAGGAAGTCAGCCGTGAGGCCCGTGTACAGCTCCCCACCTGGGTGAGAATGGGGCAGAGTCAGGGGAGGAGGGCCAGGTCCCATAGCTGGTCCCAACCCTTCCCAGTGACATTGACCAGCACCCACCCTCCTCATGCCCGTCCTGGCCTGGACATCACCCACCTACAGAGGTGCTGGCGAAGGGACTGCTGGGCTCATGCGGGCACCGCCCCCGCCCACTTTCCACACTGCTGGGCTCAAGGTGGAGCACATGCTGGGGGAGAGGGAGGAAGGGAGGGAAGGGTGTCACCTGGGAAAGCAGCCCAGCCCCCCACCCAGACAGTGGCCATCGCGTGCAGCGGGAGAGTGGGCGGAAGACGTCCTCATTCAGGGCCCCGCCAACGGGATCAGCCTGGCACAAAGATGCCTTTCAGCCCCTGACCTCTCTGCCCTGAGCCGGGCTCAATGGGAAGTGTTCAGACAGCAGGGCAGAAATGTCACTGCGTCCCACTCCCTTGTGGGGCCTGTGCCGGGCTCACCTCCCCACGGTGCCCGACCGTGATGAGGGCACAGGTGGGCTGAAAGGCCCCAGTGCCGCACGCCAGCAGGTGGGTCCGGTTGTGGGGCCGCAGCACCCGTATGAAGTTGGCACACTCCACCTAGCAGGGAGAAAAGGGGTGCGGTGGAGGGGGTGAGGAGGTGTTTACCATCTCCATGGGCCCCAGGACTCAGCCCTGCCTGGCTAATCAGCTCTGGGGACCTAGGGTAAGGGTGACATTCTTCACAGACTTTCAAGAGCCCTCAGGATCTGCTCCAAATACCCGTAGCACAAGTACCCCTGGGGAGTGGCCCCAGGCTGTCCTGGGGGTCAAGCCCTGGGTGTTGGTCATGGTTGGGGGACAGTCACTCCTTTTTTTTTTTTTTTTTAAGATTTTATTTATTTACTGGAGAGTGAGAGAGAGAGAGCATGAGAGCTGAGAGGGTCAGAGGGAGAAGCAGATTCCCTGCTGAGCAGGGAGCCCAATGCGGGACTGGATCCAGGGACTCCAGGATCATGACCTGAGCCAAAGATAGTCGCTTAACCAACTGAGCCACTCAGGTGCCCAGGCAGTCTCTCCTGACAGCACTCACCAAAGGATCTCTTCCCTTGCGAACACACTCCTCCTTCTGTCCTGGCTGCGGTGGCCACTGGACCTGAAAGAGAGCCTGGCTGACGCCTGATCTCACAGCCTGTTTCCCCGTCCAGCCTCCCAGCTCACAGAGAGACCCTCCCTTCCTCCATCCCGCTCACCTCCCGGGGATCCGGCCACGACTGGTCTAGCCGCAGAGAGTAGATGGCATCACGGCCCCCCAGAAAAAGGCGGTCCCGGTACTCATCCAGGTACATGGCCCGAAGGTCCAGGGAGCCCCGGGGACCCAGAAAGACAGCTGAACGGTTGGCAGACAGGAGATCTCGGAGGGAGCAGATTGGAAGTCAGCAAGTACTGCTCTGGCCACTTTCCCCGCTAAGGTGTGGAGCTGGAGGGCCCCAGCTGTGCATTCACACACACACACACAAACACCCCACATCTGGGAAATGTTTCCAGCCCCAGGCCTGCTGAAGGGCTTCTGGGAAACGGCTCCTGGGAGTGGGTGGGACAGGGGCCTCTGAGCCCTGCTTCCTACCCCTTCATCCTTTAGTCCCTTGATCTTTCAGTTAACATCTCCTTCCCATCTGTGCCCATCTGCGCCCACTCCGGTCCCCAGGGAAGATGGCGCCACCAGCAGAACTTATGGTAGCAAGCTGGGCAAAGTGCTGGGAAGAGCCCAGGGGAAGGCTGAGTGAGTGTGAGCAGTGGGCAAGGCTGACTCCGTGGGACAGGTGGACAGACACGGGAGAGCATTTCCAGCAGAGGAAACACCTGACAAAGGCCTGGGTATGGGAAAGGCAGGCTATGGTCAGGTGGAGCCCAAGGCTCTGGTCCAGGGTTGTGACTAAGGAAGACTTTCTCCTCTGTAGACACTGCCTTCCCAGGCCCCAGCTGTGGGGGGTGGCTTGTTGGGGATGACGCTGGGCCCAGGAGCCGAGGATCCTGAAATAGTTTCCTGGGGTTTGGCTAGGGAGGTGGAGGTAACAGGTGGCCAAAGGGTTGTGCAGCAGGATGTGGTGGGAAGGGGCGTTGGCCACCCCTGGGAAAGCCAGGTATCCCACACCTGCCCAAAAGTGGCAAGCCCGCACCCACTCCATCCCCAAACTCATCAACAGCCTCTTCCAGGAAGCCCTCCACGGCTGACAGTACTTTCAAGGGGATTTGCCCTATTGAAGCTTTTTCTTATGGCTTGACTTTTGCCCCAATCCATAGCTCCCAGGACAGGACCACGTTTTCCCCCTGCTCCAGACCCAACCATGGACTCCAGAGTAGAGCCATGTCTCCTCTCCCAGACCTTCTAGAGCAGGCTGGGTCTCCCCACTTGGTTGGGGGTTCCCAGGGAAGGTGATCACCCATCTGGCTTCCCCAAGAAGTGGCATGGGGCGCCTGTGTCTCAGGGACCTTCCCTGTGGACCATCCCCACAGATTCAGAGAAGTCTGCACCAGCTGCAGCACGGAATACCGGGTTAGAGCTGCAGGGGCACCTCCTGGGCCAGGATGGGCCAAGAGGGGAGGCTGTGATCCCCTTTGGGCTGTGAAGAGCCTCCGGAACAGAAAGGGAAGGACGAAAGCCAGCACTATGAAGTGGGCTACAAGAGGCAGATGGGAGGTGGGGGCCTCTAGGCTTTGGGGACAGGGCGAGGGATTCCACTGCAGGCTGCTGGCCCAGGCTCTCACAGGTGCCCAGGCTCAGTGCACACCTCCTCCAGACCTGTCCTCTCCATCCCTCCCCATCTCTCCCTGCCCATCCCTACTGAGGCCTCTCAGGGCCTCCATGCTTCTCTCCTTTTCTCAGAAGCCCCCTCAAGTTGTTCCCCTGCGTCTCTGCCTCTCCCTCCTCCACCCTCCGGGGACCTGCCCCTGCCCTCCTCCCAGGTCCCGCCTCTGGTGGCAGCTGGATCACCATCTCGGGGAATGACCCTGAAGTCCTTCCCATGGGCTGTGTGGGAGTGACCGCATCCCTCCGGCAGGCAGAAGAGACTGCCCAGGGGCTGGCTGGGCACCCCTGAGCCGGGGATGTCACAGGGTCCCGGACTCCCACAGACGCACCCTTGAACAGGGCATGCACTGCTGGTACCTCGGTAGGAGAGCCGCAGGCGGGGCACGCTGGGGCCAGGGGTGGGGCTGCCCCCGTGAAGCAGGAGGCCCCCCAGGAGGCAGCAGATGGCCCAGGCCGAGGGGGCCATGCTGGGGAACCGAGGGCACCACGCTGCTGGCCGAGGTGCCCCGGGTCCGCCGCTGGCCGCTGGTTGTTGTTCGCTCCACGGCCGCCAGGCCTGACACTTATAAGGCAGCGGCTCCGCCCCCTGTAGGGCCCAGAAGGCGGGAAGGAGGAGGGAGGAAGGGAGGGAGGGAGCAGCGGGAGGCCCACCCCGCCTCCGTTATCCACCTGCTGCCTCTCTCTCCACCCTCATTGGCGTGGTTAATGGCCTCTGTGTCACATTGGCTAGTTTCCCATTGGGGAGACTCTTTCCCGGCTGGGGTGTGGGTGGTTTACACGAAATGTCCACAAACCCAAGTCCCCAGGCTCCAACAAAATGTCGTGGAGGCCGGGGGGTGGGGGGGACATAGCCTGGAAGAAAAGTCAGGGGTCAGAGATCAGAGGTTGCTGGGCTGGCTAGAAGTTTAGCTGAGCTCTCCTTTGCTCCCTGCCTTTTCATTGCCCATGACAGAGACCCCACGATAGAAACAAACCGACTCTGGCCCAGATCCCTGATACCAGGAGTATCCAGCTCCCTGAAGCCCTGCCTGGCTTCTCAGCTTCCCTGGCAGGGCCTAAGTTGCCTGGGAGGGTCATTCCAGTCCAAGGGACTCCATGTTTTGGGTGGGGGCTTGACGTCTGGCCACACTTCATAGATCTGGGGTTGGCAAGAGATGAGCCCAGCCTCCTCCACCCAAGCCTGTCCCTGTCTGGCCTCCAGGCCCCTTCCCAGCTCACTGGGGCAGAGGACAGGATGCACTCCATGCTTGGGGACTCCCCCATTATCCCTCAGCCCTGCAGATCCACCAGAGCTCTAGGCCTCAGTGTCACCAAGGGAGTAGTGGGTTCTTTCCGGAGTTCCCCTTTGCACACAGACACTATACCTATGTCCCTCCAGAGTGAGGGTGGAGGTAGGACACTTACCCCATCCCCCATTCCCTCTGCCCTGCGCACTGATTCAGAGGCAAGCCACAGAAGAGGGACAAAGGAGGGACGAGCTTGAAGGATTAAATAGGGGCAAGTGAGGGGACCTCCCTATGCCCCCATCCCACAGCAGCCCTCATCTCTGCCCGCCCCCCGCGGCTGCCATTCCATCCCACCCTAGAGCGCTTCACTCAGAATCTGAGGTTCTAGGCACTAAGATCTCAGATGTCAACCAGAGCTGGAGCTCCAAGGATCCTAGAAATTCCTGCAAGTTAGTCCTCCCAGATGGACCAGCCTGAGCTCTTCGATGGTGGTCAAGAAACTTGGGGCCATCAGAGAAGGAAGGAACTGGCCCAGGTCACACTGCAGGCTGAAAACAGGCCCTGCTCAGCCCTGCCCCTTCCTGAGACTCTTTTCCTTCTGGGACTTCTGGGGTCCTGGGATCCTTCCTTCCCCAACCCCATCTCATCCCTGGAAGGGAAACAGGTTGGCTCCTTGAGTCAGCATGAGAAGGACCCAGGGACCTGGAACCCTGTCTCCCTGTCTCCATCACCCCCTGCCACCCACATACATGCCTCTCCCTAGGGGGTCCTGACCTGGCATTGGGTGAGGGGCAACTCAGGGAGGTCAGGGACTAGCATCAGCCCACCCCACCTCTGGCTTCTCCAAGAAACTTGGCCAAAGCCCTCCCATCTCTGGGCCTCAGTCTCCTCCTTCCATAGCCGGGGAGCAGCCAGCCGGCTTGGGTGCAGGCAGGCTCCACACTGGTGAGGTGTGCCTGTGCAGAGGCTGTCATGGGCCCTCAGGAGGGTGGAGCCCCTCTGCCTCCAGTTCCCTGGGGAGATGTTTCAGCCTGCAGACTGGGCTGAGGGCCAACGTCTGGCTGAAGATTGAGCTGGACAGCCCCTCAACTAGCATGTGGCCACCAGCTGTGATCAGGAGGCCCAACAACTCCTCAGTCTGCCTGCTCACCCTGGGGGTCTCAGCTCAGCCAGCCCCCCCAGCTAGGGCTGCGGGGAGGCCTGGGTATATTGGAAGCGGATGTGCTGGGCAGCTCACTCCACACTGCAGAAAAACGGCCTGTTGCTGGGGCTGGGAGCCCGAGAGCTACTGTTAACTTGTATGGCCTCAAGCAGCTCTTCTCCCTCTTTGGGCCTCATTTCCCCAGTCAGGGAAGGGAGTGAGGATCTCCTGTGAAGGCCCCTGCTTGCTGGCGCAACTTGGAAACGGACCCCAAGTGTACCCTTGATACCCACTGACCGATGGATCCAGCCACAGGCATCTTTTGCCATCTAATGGACACAGAGGGAACTGCAGGAGGTTCCACTGCGTCAGGCCCTGGGCAGGGCAGTGGGGCCACCCTGAGAAACCAAAGCCTCTTGGGGCAGCAGGCAGTAACCAGACGACCGTACTAGGAAAAGGCAGGAGCAGCAGGAGACTCCAGTGATTGCTTCTGATCAAGAAATCAAGGGAGACTTCATGGAGGAAGCCCGATCTAGGCAAAGGATGACATAGCCCAGAAAAAATGGAGGGGACCGAACACAGCAGAACAAAGTAGATGATGGACACGGGGGATCTTAATGCTGGGTGTGGTGGGAGCTTGTGAGCTCTTGTGGTGTGCGTGCTTGTTGGATGTCTCTAGTTCTTCCCCAACCAACCTCATTCTGGAAAAGAGACACTAGGACCATCACACAGACTCCCCTCCCTATGGACACCCCCCCCACCCCCTGCCCAGCCTCCCCATGTAACCTCTTGATAGTGGCCCAGCCATTCTCTTTTTTGGTTCATGGAAAGCTTAACTCTAGGAGTTTCTCTCTTCTCCTTTCCTGATCCCAACAGCAGCCCACGTCCTCCAGGTGCCCGGACCCTAAGTCCTCCTCACCAACAACCACCTTCTCCTGCCCAGGCCTCAGCCACTGTCCTCGTCCTCCAGTTCATCACTGATAAGGATGTCACCTCCGGCATCTCCACTCAGAATCCCTTCCCGTGGACGCCACAGTTCTTCTCTCATGCGTTCAGCCTGATTCCCCTTGCCCAGCTTGGATCCAGGCATTAAAACATTCCCCAGAGACCTGTAGCCTCTCACCTTCTGCAGCCTCACCCCTGCATCACGCATTACCCTTTGCCAGCCTCACTCGGGGTCCCCTCCTCCCGCCCCACGCATTCCCTACCCCACCTTTAAATGAGCTTCCCTGTTTTTCATGTCTCCCCGCAGCTCTGGCACATTTCCTGTAAAGCTGCACCAGTGTTGTCCATGCCCGCCAGCTCCCTTTATCTCACCTGGCTCCTTTGGTCCTCTCCAGTCGGGCTCCAAGGAAACCCTCATGGCCACATGGTCAAGACCTCGGGGGCCTCCAGGTCCCTAACCCCAGGGCCACCAGCTGATTTCAGTGTCCCCACCCTTCCCTCCTGGCTCCCAGGACTCCTCATTCAGCCAGGGTCTCTCCCATTCCCCTGGCCACACCTCCTCTCCTGGACTACCCACATGGGATGGCCGGTGTCCACCTGTCTATACTCCGTCTCCCCAGGGGCCTCACCACGACCGGGGCCAAGAAAGCCCTTCTTACTCAGGACACGTGACTTTACAGAGCACTCTCTGCCCCCTCACTTAGCTCCAGCCCTGCCTGGACATCCTCACCACCCTGTCCCAGAGGCATCGCAACCTGGACACGTACAGAAGATTCACTCTCTCTTCTGTGACTGTCCCACCTGAAATGCACTTCATCCAGGATCCCAGACCACTCCTGCCTCGTGGCCACCGCATCTCCATAATCCCCATTCCAGCACCACACTGGTTCCCTCACTGCATTCATCACCCGCTTGTCTTCCTGAGCGATGGTCAATTTCATGAAATTAGGGACAGAGCCTCCCTCTGAACGGTTGCAGCATCGGGCCCATGCCAGGCACAGGGTAGGGATGTGACTAGGGCAGGTGTGCCCACGGTGGCTCTACTTCCTCTCCCAGGATGTCGTTGCTCCGCGGTGTAACGCACAGATCCTTGAGTTCTCCAGCTCCCGATGGCAGGCCTGAAGGGACCCCATTGCTCTCCGGCAGCCGGAGAGCTCCCGCAGCTCTGGCCTCCACTGGAGGCATCTCCAGAATTCCAAGACTGTCTCCGGAATGCTGAGCCTGTCTGGAGAATGCCAAGGCCAGGGCACAGGTGGAGAGGCCTCGGAGTGGCTGGGTGGAGCAAGGACAACTGCTGGCATTCTGGCTGGAGCCTGCACACCATGGCCAGCTGTCGCTTCTGTGAGCACCACTGCTGACACCACCATGTCCTTGCTGCCACCCTCTCCAAGGCCAGCGCCACTGCTCTGACCCCCACTAAGTTGAGAGCCACCAAGCCTTACATTTCCATTCCATCAGGAAGGGACAGTGGGCTGCTGGAGCCTCCAAGGTTCAAGGGAACTGGAAATTACGCCGGTGTGGACCTGGTGTATCAGACAGAGCCCCAGGCTGGGACCCACAGGTCTTTGTTGGTCACCAGACTCACTGATGACTTTGACAGGTCCCTGCACCTCTCTGGGCCCCTCACTTGGCAAATGGGTGAATGGAGGAAGAGCAGATGGTGTGCCCCTCAGTCCCGGGCAGTCAGTGCCACTAGTGTGAAATGCAAGTGCCACAGCCCACTGAGCCCCCATAGCACCCCGCTTCTCTGCAACCGGAGCTGAGAAGGAGCTGGGCTGCCATGCCAAGTGGCCTCCAGGGCCTAGCAGGGTGCTCTGCTCTCTCCAAGCACAGGACCTCTCAGCTGCCAACTGGCGACCAAAGCCATAGCCCCCAGGAGCCTGTTCACTGTGGATTCCTGGGCCACCACCAAGTCCAAATGCTGAAACTCTGGAGATGAGGCCTGGGAATCAGCAGTCCTAGAAAGGAGCCACTGAGCCATGGAACACGGTCATCTCCAACCCGACCTAAGCCCGCTGGTAGAAGATGGTGTGGGGGACAGGTGGAGTGCAAGCCGGAAATGGACGTCAGAGCACCCACAGCCCCCTGGGCTAGGAAAGTCAGACAGCAGGTATCCAGGGAACAGAGCTTTAATCGCATTCCCTACGACAGGGCTGGGGGAGGCAGTCACGGAGGGCCCACCCCCTCCTTGGGAG